CAGCCTTAGTCCTGGTCCAGACTTGGTCCAGACTTGGTCCAGACCTGGTCCAGACCTGGTTCTGATAGATCTGTTCTATATACAGTGGGCTATAGGAGCTCGTGGCCTGAAACCGTCAGTCGTCACTGTCAGCTCTAATTACACCCTCTGTCTTCATTAGTGCACGAGGCGAGCGTGCACATGAAAAGTGTGCACGTGCAATATAGTGCACGTAAACTGGGGGAACTACTCTTAGTATCGGGGAGAAACTCTCTTTAATAACTGCATGTTGTGAACAAGTCTTTTCTGTTGTTTTGGCTCAGACTCTTTGGGCTGAGTGAGTTATGTGGTTTATTGGTACACGCCAGAGATTTAAAATGAAGTATAACCAAGAGCATAACAGACAGGTACAGTAATGGCTTCGAGATATACGTTTATGCAGTATTTCCATCTGTGAACATTTGGCAGCAGCCGTATTAGTAGCAGTAGTAGTAGCAGTAGGTACATAAGTAATCTTTATTTACATACCGCCTTTTCACTGCAGATCTGAGTCTCAAAGTGGTTTACAATTATTAATTTTTGGGCATTTGTCTCTCACTCCACACAGAGATGGGAGCGGAGCCAGTACAGGAGGCGCATGCCAGAACTATTGTACATATTTTTAGTGCTAGGGGAAACCGGAGTACCCGGAGGAAACCTAGGCAGACACTGGGATAACATGCAAACTCCACTCAGAAAGGCACTGGTCCGACCGGGATTCGAACCCAGGACCTTCTTGCTGAGAGGCGAGAGTGCTAGTGCTATCCACTCAGCCACTAGTAGTAGTAGTAGTAGTTGTAGTAGTAACAGTAGTAGTAGTAGCAGCAGTAACAGTAGTAGTAGCAGCAGCAGCAGCAGTAGTAGCAGCAGTAGTAGCAGTAGTAGTAACAGCAGTAGTAGCAGCAGCAGTAGTAGTAGCAGTAGTACAGCAGCAGTAGTAGTAACAGCAGTAGTAGCAGCAGCAGCAGTAGTAGTAACAGCAGTAGTAGCAGCAGCAGTAGTAGCAGCAGTAGTAGTAACAGCAGTAGTAGTAACAGCAGTGGTAGCAGCAGCAGCAGCAGCAGCAGTAGTAGTAACAGCAGTAGTAGTAACAGCAGTAGTAGCAGCAGTAGTAGCAGCAGTAACAGCAGTAGTAGCAGCAGTAGCAGCAGCAGTAGTAGTAACAGCAGTAGTAGCAGCAGTAGTAGTAACAGCAGTAGTAGTAACAGCAGTAGTAGTAACAGCAGTAGTAGCAGTAGTAGTAGCAGCAGTAGTAGTAACAGCAGTAGTAGCAGCAGTAGTAACAGCAGTAGTAGCAGCAGTAGTAGTAACAGCAGTAGTAGTAACAGCAGTAGTAGTAACAGCAGTAGTAGCAGCAGCAGCAGTAGTAGTAACAGCAGTAGTAGCAGCAGTAGTAGTAACAGCAGTAGTAGTAACAGCAGTAGTAGCAGCAGCAGCAGCAGCAGCAGTAGTAGTAACAGCAGTAGTAGTAACAGCAGTAGTAGTAACAGCAGTAGTAGCAGCAGTAACAGCAGTAGTAGCAGCAGTAGCAGCAGCAGTAGTAGTAACAGCAGTAGTAGCAGACGTAGTAGTAACAGCAGTAGTAGCAGTAGTAGTAGCAGCAGTAGCAGCAGCAGTAGTAGTAACAGCAGTAGTAGCAGCAGTAGTAGTAACAGCAGTAGTAGTAACAGCAGTAGTAGCAGCAGTAGTAGTAACAGTAGGAGGAGTCTCTCAGGTTGAAGTCCTGTTATGTCACTGCTCTGTCCTCTTCTCGCACATAACGTCACGTCTCCATGGAAACGGGCAAATTCATTCTGCTTCAGTTAAAGAAACAAGAGGTGAATCAGGAGCGAGGAGGAGGGGAGGAGGGGAGGAGGGGGAGAGAGAGGGCGGAGGGGTAAGAGGAGAGAAACGAGGAGGAGGAAGAGGAGAGAGAGGGAAGAGGAGACAGAGGGAGGAGGAAAAGAGAGAGAGAGGAGGGAGAGAGAGATGGAGGAAGAGGAGAAGAAGGATAATTTTGTCCCTAAAACGTGATCTTGATGTATTTAGAATCTTTGGTTAAAGCTGGGGTCCGTGACTTCCAAAACACAACAATAGATCTCATAGAAGCATCAGTCTCTGCAGCAACAGCAGGGGAAATGTCAGTGTTGCAGCGCACTCACAGAGACACTATCAACACATACATAAACCATGTCTAAGAAAGTCACGAGATTTTGTTATTGACTAAATACTTACTTTCCTTCAGAATTTGCAAATAAACTCTTTAAAATTAAATTCAGATTTTCTGTATTTTCTCCACATTTCGTCTCAAAGTTGATCTCTGTGATTCTTTAAATGTTATTTTTACAGTTGCTCCAAATGAAAAAAAACTTTACTAATAAAAATTGTGACCTTTTTAAGAATATACCTCCACCATGTTTTGGAATTGTTGTCATAAACTTGAGGCTGGAGGACTCTCTTGTCTCTCTCCCTTGCCAGTCTACCTCCCTCTCTCTCTTTCTATCTCTCTCCATCCTCTTTCTCGCTCTCCCTCCCGCTCTCTCTAACCTCTTTCTCCCCCTCTCTCCCTCTTCCCCCTCTCGCTCCTCTCTCTCCTCTCTCTCTCTCTCTCTCTTTCCTGAGGACTCTCTGTGTTAATGCGCCATCTTGAAATTCAGTGGTTGATAAGGGACAAAAAGTGACCAAGACGTGTGGAGAGATTCAGTTATTTCACAAACTAAAGGACTCTTTCCATGGCCCCGGTTTGACGGAGCAGGCGTTTGGGACCACGGTCAAAGACCACTGTCAGAGACCACTGTCAGAGACCACTGTCAGAGACCACTGTCAGAGACCACTGTCAGAGACCACTGTCAAAGACCACTGTCAGAGACCACTGTCAAAGACCACTGTCAGAGACCACTGTCAGAGACCACTGTCAAAGACCACTGTCAGAGACCACTGTCAGAGACCACTGTCAGAGACCACTGTCAAAGACCACTGTCAGAGACCACTGTCAGAGACCACTGTCAAAGACCACTGTCAGAGACCACTGTCAGAGACCACTGTCAGAGACCACTGTCAGAGACCACTGTCAGAGACCACTGTCAAAGACCACTGTCAGAGACCACTGTCAGAGACCACTGTCAGAGACCACTGTCAAAGACCACTGTCAGAGACCACTGTCAGAGACCACTGTCAGAGACCACTGTCAAAGACCACTGTCAGAGACCACTGTCAGAGACCACTGTCAGAGACCACTGTCAAAGACCACTGTCAGAGACCACTGTCAGAGACCACTGTCAGAGACCACTGTCAGAGACCACTGTCAAAGACCACTGTCAGAGACCACTGTCAGAGACCACTGTCAGAGACCACTGTCAGAGACCACTGTTAGAGACCACTGTCAGAGACCACTGTCAGAGACCACTGTCAGAGACCACTGTCAAAGACCACTGTCAGAGACCACGTCAGAGACCACGGTCAAAGACCACTGTCAGAGACCACTGTCAGAGACCACTGTCAGAGACCACTGTCAGAGACCACTGTCAAAGACCACTGTCAGAGACCACTGTCAGAGACCACTGTCAGAGACCACTGTCAGAGACCACTGTCAGAGACCACTGTCAAAGACCACTGTCAGAGACCACTGTCAGAGACCACTGTCAGAGACCACTGTCAAAGACCACTGTCAGAGACCACTGTCAGAGACCACTGTCAGAGACCACTGTCAGAGACCACTGTCAGAGACCACTGTCAGAGACCACTGTCAAAGACCACTGTCAGAGACCACTGTCAGAGACCACTGTCAGAGACCACTGTCAGAGACCACTGTCAGAGACCACTGTCAGAGACCACTGTCAGAGACCACTGTCAGAGACCACTGTCAGAGACCACTGTCAAAGACCACTGTCAGAGACCACTGTCAGAGACCACTGTCAGAGACCACTGTCAGAGACCACTGTCAGAGACCACTGTCAGACACCACATATTGTCCTTCGAAGCGACCGTAATATTTTGACTGCAGTACATGACCAAGCTTTTTTTTTTGGTCCGTTTTTTTTATAAACATATCGACGCGTGTGACGATCGGCGCTCCTATTGGACAGCGAGAGCTCTCTGAGAATAAATGCGGAATTGGAGGAAAATATCGAGCTCGTACGTCTGCTCTGCCAATGTTTGCTCTTTTTAGAGCATTTTTGTGTGTCTTTTCCAGGTGTTGGGTTATATGTGCCTCTGCCCAAATTTCAAGGAGGCCCAGTGTCTCCTCGTTCCTCCAGGTCTGCTCACGGCTCAGTGTTGTTGTGTAGCGTTAGCAGCTGTGACACATGGCTAGTAAGTAAGTAAGTAAGTAAGTCATCTTTATTTATATACCGCCTTTCACAGACCAGAGTCACAAAGCAGTTTACAATTGTTATTATTTTTGGGCATTGGTCCACTCACTCCACACAGAGATGGGAGCAGGGTCGCCAGTACAGGAGGCGCATGCCAGAATTATTGTGCATGTTTTTAGTGGTAGGGGAAACCGGAGTACCCGGAGGAAACCTACGCAGACACGGGGAGAACATGCAAACTCCACTCAGAAAGGCCCTGGTCCGGCCAGGATTCGAACCCAGGACCTTCTTGCTGAGAGGCGAGAGTGCTATCCACTCAGCCACCGTGCCGCCCAATTCCTCACAGGTCCTGTCTGAGGCTTGTTAAGCCCAAAAAATGCGCACGTATCCTGGAGTTGTGTTGACACCGGTTGTATTAAGACCTGGATCGACTCGGACCAGAGTTTGTTTGGAATTGGACCGAGACCCCCTAAAAAGTTGGTCTCGGTCCGGTTCTTTGGTCCGGACCAGGATTCGTTTGTGTGTATTCACTCACGCATAAAAGGTCCGGATCAGAGTTCCAAACTAATCCTGGTCTGTTTAAAGTGGACCAAAAGTGCAGGTCTGAATACACCCTAAATACTGTTTGGTCCCAGTGTCTGTGGTGTTCTGTCTGTGACTTTGAGAATCTAAAGTCTCATGTTGTGTTTTCAGAGACCTCCAGTGGAACAGACGCAGTGGAAGGAGGAGCAGGACTGAGGCATCTGCTGCAGAACTACTACTACGAGAACGAGTCCCGGCTCTACGCTGAGGCTGAGACCCATAAGAACTGCACCGAGCCAGGTATGGACCAGCACCAAGAACAGGACCAGGACTTGGTCTGAAGAGGAAGTACAGACATCTTCTTGTCTGTACAGACTAGTACAGACAGGAATATGGACAATGCTCTCTCCGGTCTCTCTCTGGTCACTCTATCTCTCCGGTCTCTCTCTGGTCTCTATCTGGAAGCCAAAGTCACAAATATCAAAACTGCAGGGTTTTTTTTTTTAAGTTGTTGCTAATGCTCTCATCTCCATTTTGTGTTTTGATTCTTGCAGAAAATATAGAAAAAAGATTTGATTACTTCAGTCTTTGCTTCAGTCTCTGCCTCAGTCTCTGCTTCAGTCTCTGCTTCAGTCTCTGCTTCAGTCTCTGCTTCAGTCTCTGCTTCAGTCTCTGCTTCAGTCTCTGCTTCAGTCTCTGCCTCAGTCTCTGCTTCAGTCTCTGCCTCAGTCTCTGCTTCAGTCTCTGCTTCAGTCTCTGCTTCAGTCTCTGCTTCAGTCTCTGCTTCAGTCTCTGCTTCAGTCTCTGCCTCAGTCTCTGCTTCAGTCTCTGCCTCAGTCTCTGCTTCAGTCTCTGCTTCAGTCTCTGCTTCAGTCTCTGCTTCAGTCTCTGCTTCAGTCTCTGCCTCAGTCTCTGCTTCAGTCTCTGCTCCAGTCTCTGCTCCAGTCTCTGCTTCAGTCTCTGCTTCAGTCTCTGCTTCAGTCTCTGCTTCAGTCTCTGCTTCAGTCTCTGCTTCAGTCTCTGCTTCAGTCTCTGCTTCAGTCTCTGCCTCAGTCTCTGCTTCAGTCTCTGCCTCAGTCTCTGCTTCAGTCTCTGCTTCAGTCTCTGCTTCAGTCTCTGCTTCAGTCTCTGCTTCAGTCTCTGCCTCAGTCTCTGCTTCAGTCTCTGCTTCAGTCTCTGCTTCAGTCTCTGCTTCAGTCTCTGCTTCAGTCTCTGCTTCAGTCTCTGCCTCAGTCTCTGCTTCAGTCTCTGCTTCACATTTTGTGTTTTCTTGTGGAATTTGTCCCAGATTTCTGCGTTCCTTTTTACGAGATTGTCTTGATGGCAGATCCTTCCCCCTCCCTCCCCCTCCCTCCCCCACGTGCACTTTTAAGGATGCTGTCATGACTTTGTGGTTATTTTTAGTTTTCTTGTTGTGTTTGAGTTGAACAGGTCTACAGAAGCAGAAATAATTCAGCTCTTGAGAGCAATTTTTTGGAGAGAGAGAGACCAGAGAGAGACTAGAGAGAGACTAGTGAGAGACTAGTGAGAGAGACCAGAGAGAGACCAGAGAGAGACCAGAGAGAGACCAGAGAGAGTGACCAGTGAGAGACCAGAGAGAGACCATAGAGAGACCAGAGAGAGACCAGAGAGAGTGACCAGTGAGAGACCAGAGAGAGACCATAGAGAGACCAGAGAGAGGCCAGAGAGATAGAACAGTGAGAGGGACCAGAGAGAGACAAACAATGCTCCTCATCAGTCACCGACCTGCAGGTGTTTTTAGACCCGTTCATGATCAGGAATTTCTGGCATACCTGCACTCTCTCTGGTCTATTCTCCTCTTTCTCTCTTTCTGGTCTCTCCTCTTTCTCTTTCTCTCTCTCTCTCTCTCTCTCTCTCTCTCTCTCTCTCTCTCTCTTCCCTGTTTTCAGACAGTGTATTATTAGTCCACAGCCTCGAAGCCTAATTACATCAACGTGGATTATTTTCGCTCCACTAAAAAATGCGCACGGCATCCCTCTGGTACACACACAAACACACACACACACACACACACAGACACACACACAGACACACACACACACTCTCAGCCCAAAGAGTCCGATTGTGACTCACAGGGATCGTTAGATGTAAGTGAGTAAATAATGCAATTTGGAATGAAGAAAAAATTTGTTCTGCCGACAACAAGACCAGAGAGACCAGAGAGAGAGGGACCAGAGAGAGACCAGAGAGAGACCAGAGAGAGAGACCAGAGAGAGAGACCAGAGAGAGAGACCAGAGAGAGAGACCAGAGAGAGAGGGACCAGAGAGAGAGGGACCAGAGAGAGAGACCAGAGAGCGAGACCAGAGAGAGAGTGACCAGAGAGAGGGACCAGAGAGAGAGTGACCAGAGAGAGACCAGAGAGAGAGACCAGAGAGAGAGACCAGAGAGAGAGACCAGAGAGAGAGACCAGAGAGAGAGACCAGAGAGAGAGACCAGAGAGAGAGTGACCAGAGAGAGGGACCAGAGAGAGAGGGACCAGAGGGAGACCAGAGAGAGAGACCAGAGAGAGAGACCAGAGAGAGAGACCAGAGAGAGAGACCAGAGAGAGAGGGACCAGAGAGAGGGACCAGAGAGAGAGTGACCAGAGAGAGACCAGAGAGAGAGACCAGAGAGAGGGACCAGAGAGAGAGGGACCAGAGAGAGACCAGAGAGAGAGACCAGAGAGAGGGACCAGAGAGAGAGGGACCAGAGAGAGAGACCATAGAGAGGGACCAGAGAGAGAGGGACCAGAGGGAGACCAGAGAGAGAGACCAGAGAGAGGGACCAGAGAGAGACCAGAGAGAGGGACCAGAGAGAGACCAGAGAGAGGCAATAGAGAGAGAGACCAGAGCAACCAGAGAGACTATATAGCAGTGAGGGAAATCCAAGACCAGAGAGGGATCTGAGTCCCACTTATTTGTGTGATTGTTTTTGTCTTTGTTCTAAATAAATAAATTTGCAGTTAGCAGTTTCCTCTCTATGGCTTGGGGCATTTGTAGCTCACGTGACCCACGGTCTCTGACAGATCTAAGAATAGAAGAGGAGGAAGAGCCAAAAGAACAGAACTCTGACCAGAGAGAGAGAGACCAGAGTAAGACCAGAGAGAAACCAAGACCAGAACGAGACCAGAGAGAGACCATAGCGAGATCAGAGAGAGAGAGGCAGACCAGAGAGAGTGACTACAGAGAGAGACTATGGGAGACAAGAGAGAGCAGAAAGAGAGGGGAGGTGAAACCAGTGAGAGAGACGAGAGAAAGACGAGAGAGAGTGACCAGTCTAGAAGTCTCACCGGCCTCTCACTGGTCAATAACCAGTGAGAGACCAGAAAGACCAGAGAGACCAGAGAGAGACCAGAGAGAGACCAGAGAGAGACCAGTGAGAGACCAGTGAGAGGCCAGAGAGAGAGACCAGAGAGAGACCAGAGAGAGAGACCAGAGAGAGAGACCAGAGAGAGAGAGACCAGCGAGAGAGAGACCAGAGAGAGAGACCAGCGAGAGAGACCAGCGAGAGACCAGTGAGAGACCAGTGAGAGACCAGTGAGAGACCAGTGAGAGACCAGAGATCTCTGAATACAGGACCCGGTCACAGTTTTTTTAATTTATTCGGAGTGTGGCTCAGACATGATTGAATTAAGAACTGAACAAGTCATTTTCTGCTTCATTAAAAACACAGACACTGAGACCAGCGTCTGCAGGAGACACCATCACAGCTACCATCAACAGATGCAGCTTTAACAGACAGAATATGAGTGCTTATTCAAACCATCTGTGAGTGTGTTTTGTAAACGTCTTATCTCTTTTAAAACAAATAAGAGAGACCAGACCTGAGAGAGACCTGAGAGACACCAGAGAGACACCAGAGAGAGACCAGAGAGAGACCAGAGAGAGACCAGAGAGAGACCAGAGAGAGACCAGAGAGAGACCAGAGAGAGACCAGAGAGAGACCAGAGAGACACCAGAGAGAGACCAGAGAGACACCAGAGAGACACCAGAGAGAGACCAGAGAGAGACCAGAGAGAGACCAGAGAGAGACCAGAGAGAGACCAGAGAGAGACCAGAGAGAGACCAGAGAGACACCAGAGAGAGACCAGATAAAGACTAAAGATCATTGTGGGTCCTCCATCAGTCTTGTTGGTCCATCAAGAGCAGGACTGAGGATGTAGACCCAGGACTGAGGATGTAGATCCAGGACTGAGGCTGTAGACCCAGGACTGAGGATGTAGATCCGTAGACCCAGGACTGAGGCTGTAGACCCAGGACTGAGGCTGTAGACCCAGGACTGAGGCTGTAGATCCAGGACTGAGGCTGTAGATCCAGGACTGAGGCTGTAGACCCAGGACTGAGGCTGTAGACCCAGGACTGAGGCTGTAGATCCAGGACTGAGGCTGTAGACCCAGGACTGAGGCTGTAGATCCAGGAATGAGGCTGTAGACCCACATAAGAATTGTAATATATTTGCATGTATTTTTCTCGATGACAGATGAACAGCAGTTGGTTTTGTCCCTGCTCAAATACACACACACACACACACACACACACAGGTGACACTGTTTCTATGGCAACAGGGAAAGTGGCCTGGCGTGAGGGAAAGAGGAGGATAATGCATCAAAGAAAGACGGATCAGCATCAAAGCCTCGTGTTAAAGAGACACATTATGACGCTTTACCTTGTCCCTGCAGAAGAAAAGCAGCCCCACAGCATGAAGCGCCACCCCTACGTCCGACCAGAGCACCTCCGTTTACTGTTTGACTTAGAAACCACATGACATGGTCTTGCTGGTCCCTTACTGGTCCCTTGAGCTCAGTCTGGGTCTTGGTCCTGGTCTCGGTCTTGCTGTGGTCCCACTCCTCTTCTCCTTCCTGGGTCTTGTTCCCCCGTCCGGGTCTTGGTCTGGGTCTTGTCTGTGGTCTTGTTCCTGGTTTTTGTCTTGGTCTTGTTCCTGGTCGGGGTCTTGCTGTAGACCTACTCCCCTGCTTCTCTCTGGGGGGCTGAGTCTCGGTCCTGGTCTTAGTCCTGGTCTTGGTGTTGGTCCTGGTCCTGCCTTGGTCCTGGTCTGTGTCTTGCTGTAGTCCCAATCTCCTTCTCCTCTCTGGTCCTGGTTTCAGTCCCGGTCTTGGTCTGGGACTTGCTGTATATCCTGTTCCTCTCTGGGGCCTGAGGTTGGGTCCCGGACCAAGAACAGGTCCTGGTCCTGGTCCCAGTCCTGGTCCTCTGTGGGACTGTGGCCACATTCCAATGCTCAGTGGGGGATGTTTACATCTGTGGTCACAGAGTTCACAAACACAGAGAGAGACCAGAGAGAGACCAGAGAGAGACCAGAGAGAGACCAGAGAGAGACCAGAGAGAGACCAGAGAGAGACCAGAGAGAGACCATAGAGAGACTATAGAGAGACCATAGAGAGACTATAGAGAGACCATAGAGAGACTATAGAGACCATAGAGAGACCATAGAGACCATAGAGAGACCATAGAGAGACTTGAAAAAGACCCAGAGAGAGACCAGAGAGATACCAGAGAGAGACCAGGAGAGAGACCAGGAGAGAGACCATGAGAGGGACCATGAGAGGGACCATGATAGAGACCATAGAGAGACTATAGAGACCATAGAGAGACTATAGAGACCATAGAGAGACTATAGAGAGACCAGAGAGAGACCAGAGAGAAACTTGAAAAAGACCCAGAGAGAGACCAGAGAGAGACCATAGAGAGACCATAGAGAGACCATAGAGAGACCAGAGAGAGACCAGAGAGAGACCAGAGAGAGACCAGAGAGAGACCAGAGAGAGACCAGAGAGAGACCAGAGAGAGACCATAGAGAGACCAGCGAGAGACCAGAGAGAGATCAAACCCCACAACCAGAGTCAAGACAGGCCAGAGACACCATTTGAGGACAGATTAAATGTATTATGTACATTATGAGTTTACAGAAGCTAATGCTCTGCTCTGGAGCTTTCCGGAGATTAGCGTAACCCTGGGGACACGCCACAGCAGGTTATTGTTGTTTTAAGTTCATTTCTGCGGCACCAGTTCACGAGCAGATGGTCCGACCTCCATGGTACAGATAATGGCCTTTATGCTAATGTATACGTGACGTCCTCATACTGTTCTTTTGTCTAAGACCAGAGCTTTTACGTCATAAAGCCTGAGATTAGACCGTAAACTCTATACAGATGGACAATTCTAACACGCGAGCTCACTGAAACCCAATAGGGAAGTGCTCATAGTGAAGTTTGACTCCAACTCGCGCTGATCTATCTCCTGTCTCTCTGGTCTCTCTCTGGTCCCTCACTCTGGTCTTTTTCGGTCTCCGGTCTCTCTCTCTCTGGTCTCTCTCTAGTCCCTCACTCTGGTCTTTTTCGGTCTCTGGTCTCTCTCTCTCTGGTCTCTCTCTAGTCCCTTACTCTGGTCTTTTTCGGTCTCTGGTCTCTCTCTCTCTGGTCTCTCTCTAGTCCCTCACTCTGGTCTTTTTCGGTCTCTGGTCTCTCTCTGGTCTCTCTTTAGTCCCTCACTCTGGTCTTTTTCGGTCTCTGGTCTCTCTCTCTCTGGTCTCTCTCTAGTCCCTCACTCTGGTCTTTTTCGGTCTCTGGTCTCTCTCTCTCTGGTCTCTCTCTAGTCCCTCACGCTGGTCTTTTTGGTCTCTCTCTCGCTATCTCTTTGGTCTATCTTTGGTCTCTTTCTGGTTTCTCTCTGATCTGTCTCTCAGGTCTTTCTCTGGTCTCTCTCAGGTCTCTCTGTCTCTGTATAGTTTCTCTCTTTCTCTCTGGTCTCTTTCTAGTCTGTCTAGTCTCTCCCTGGGTTCGCTCTCTGGTCTCTTTGTGGTCTCTCTTGGCTCTTTCTCTAGTCCTTCTCTCTGGAGAAAGAGGGGTAGAGCTACATTTTTGTGTTCTCAATGTAAGCGTGGATGGAGCTAAAAGCAACACCAGGTCTGTGACTCATGAGGGGGGTTGCCGTGGTAACAGCAGTATTTCAGTTTGAGTGACAGCTGCTGCTCTGTCCATCTGCGACTGACCTGATGAGGAACAACCACAACATGATGTAATCCACTGGAATTATGTAAACCAAGAGGGAGGGAGAGAGAGAGGGAGAGAAGGGGAGGAAGGAGGACGCTGAGAGAGAAGGGGAGAGTGAGAGGGAGAGGCAGGAAAAGAGAGTTGTGTGTCTTTATTTACCCAAAATACAACCCTGAGTTTCGATAAGATTTAGTTTGCTGGTCCCTTTGATAAGCAGCATCAGTCCTGGTTCTACAGCCTCAGTCCTGGGTCTACAGCCTCAGTCCTGGATCTACAGCCTCAGTCCTGGGTCTACAGCCTCAGTCCTGGATCTACAGCCTCAGTCCTGGGTCTACAGCCTCAGTCCTGGATCTACAGCCTCAGTCCTGGATCTACAGCCTCAGTCCTGGGTCTACAGCCTCAGTCCTGGGTCTACAGCCTCAGTCCTGGGTCTACAGCCTCAGTCCTGGGTCTACAGCCTCAGTCCTGCTCCCTCAGAACCAATGGCTTCTATGTGTTTGTTATTCGACCAATTCCTGACTTTGAGCTGTTTGATTCTCTGATCTGTTGTTGGTGAATCCCAAACTTTGTGAAGTCCTCTGAGACGAGCTGCTGAGGTTTAGGACGAGACACAAATAAATTGAATTGAAAGTAAAAGCAGTGAAAGTGACAGGGGGTTAAATCGTTTTCATCAAGAGCAGCAGAGTCCTCTGACCCAGGATTACACAGGGTCCACCACAGCAGGCTCCAGACATCTGTGGAGCTCTCTCTCTCTCTCTCTCACTCTCTATCTCTCTCTCACTCTCTCTATCTCTGTCTCTCTCTCTGTCTCTCTCTCGCTCTCTCTCTGTCTCTCTCTCGCTCTCTCTCTCTGGTCACTTTTGGTCTTTCATGTCCCTCTCTCTCTCTGTTCTATTTTTTGTCTCTCTCTCTCTCTCTCTCTCTCTCGCTGGTCACTTTTGGTCCTTCTCATGTCCCTCTCTCCCTCTCTGGTCTCTGCTCTCTCTCTTTTCTATTTTCGGTCTCTTTTTGGCCTCTCTCTCTGCCCTCCCTCTCTCTCTCTCTCTCTCTCTCTCTCTCTCTCTCTCTCTCTCTGGGACTTGATCTTCCCCTCTTATAGCACCCAGCTAACTCCATCCAATTAAACGCCCATATATGGAAATCAGCCGTAGCTAGCTTGCGCTCAAACCCTCATCTCCTGCATTACAGCTAACAGTGACATCACACTCCTGTTTGAAGGTTAGCATAAAGTAACATATGTGCAATAACAAGTGTTTGATGTGTTTGTTAGAAGACGTGACATCACTTCTCTGGGAGAATCCGCGTTTCTGTTGTTGGGATGAGATTCCGAACGCTGCGGTCAGAAAGCATTTGTGTTCCCGGAGCAGTGAGGGCCCTGAGCCTCTGAGTCAGAGTCTGAATGTCACACAGAAATAGCAGCACATTGTACAGGGTTAAATATAGAGTGTGGACCATGTGTGACCTTCAAATACTCTGCTATTTATATAACCAGACACATGTGGCACCAGGAACGCCTTCTCCATCTGAGGGACGCACATGGTTTGGACGCTTAGATTGATTTGCCTTAATATTGGTTCTTGTGTCTGTTTGGTTGATTGGCCCCTCGTCCTAATGTGTGGTCTCTCTGTGTGTCTATACCATGTGTGTGTCTATACCATGTGTGTGTCTATACCATGTGTGTGCTTAGACCATGTTTGCTCCTGGCTTGTTTTTTGTTGCCCTGGATTTGGATTGGATCAAATGACCTTGTGACAGAGACCGGAACAGAAAGAAGTGGGTTGGATTAGAACATTGTGATGTTTGCGACATGAAGCAATAAAGCTGCTGTTCAAGAAATGTGCTGAGATTTGGCGCTGAGACCCTGGCAGAGCACTGTGACCAGAGAGAGACCAGAGAGAGACCAGAGAGAGACCAGAGAGAGACCAGAGAGAGACCAGAGAGAGAGACCAGAGAGAGACCAGAGAGAGACCAGAGAGAGACCAGAGAGAGAGACCAGAGAGAGAGACCAGAGAGAGAGACCAGAGAGAGAGACCAGAGAGAGACCAGAGAGAGAGACCAGAGAGAGACCAGAGAGAGACCAGAGAGAGACCAGAGAGAGACCAGAGAGAGACCAGAGAGAGACCAGAGAGAGAGACCAGAGAGAGAGACCAGAGAGAGAGACCAGAGAGAGAGACCAGAGAGAGACCAGAGAGAGACCAGAGAGAGAACCAGAGAGATACCAGGAGAGATACCAGGAAAGGGACCAGGAGAGGGACCAGGAGAGGGACCATGAGAGGGACCATGAGAGAGACCATGAGAGAGACCATGAGAGAGACCATAGAGAGACCAGAGAGAGACCATAGATAAACTTGAAAAAGACCCAGAGAGAGACCATAGAGAGACCAGAGAGAGACCATAGAGAGACCATAGAGAGACCATAGAGAGACCATAGAGAGACCATAGAGAGACCATAGAGAGACCATAGAGAGACCATAGAGAGACCAGAGAGAGACCAGAGAGAGACCAGAGAGAGACCAGAGAGAGACCAGGGAGAGACCAGGGAGAGACCAGGGAGAGACCAGAGAGAGACCAGAGACCAGAGAGAGACCAGAGAGAGACCAGAGACCAGAGAGAGACCAGGGAGAGACCAGGGAGAGACCAGGGAGAGACCAGAGAGAGACCAGGGAGAGACCAGGGAGGGACCAGAGAGAGACCAGAGAGGGACCAGAGAGAGACCAGGGAGAGACCAGGGAGGGACCAGAGAGAGACCAGGGAGAGACCAGGGAGGGACCAGAGAGAGACCAGGTCTCTGTCTGGTCTCTCTCAGGCCCCCTCTGAATGTGATGAAATAAAAGTATCTTCCATGAGCTCAATATTGTTTTGTGTTTCTTTCCTGCTATTATTTCATAATGATTATTAACTTTTCCAATTTGTTTGTGATCATTTTTCCTTAATTCACGACAGGGTTTTGTTCTTTCTTTCAAATGCAGCTAGAGTTAGCGGCACATGAACAATCTTATCATTTATCAGTGCAAGGACTTTTTGGTCCTGGTCTATACAAATAAACATGACTTACATGTGTGTAAACCTGTTTCCGTGACTTAAATGTGTGTAAATGTGTAAACACGTTTTGTGTTGTGTCCACAGCGATCCACGAGTTTCCCACCGACTACTTCACCAACGCTGAGCGGACGGAGGGAGCGGTGGGACTGCACGTGCTCTGTGTGAGTAACATATACCAGCACACACTCTCTGGTCTCTCTCTCTGGTCTCTCTCTGGTCTCTGGTCTCTCTCTCTCTCTGGTCCCTCTCTCTCTTACAGTAAGTCTCTCTCTAATCTCTCTCTGGACCCCCTCTGGTCTCCCTTTTGGTTTCTCTCACTGGTCCCTCTCTTCCGTTCTCTCTCTACTGTCCTTCCCTGGTCCATCTCTCTGGTCTCTCTGGTCTGGAGTAACGCAGACCAGAGACAGACCAGAGACAGACCAGAGACAGACCAGAGACAGACCAGAGACAGACCAGAGACAGACCAGAGACAGACCAGAGACAGACCAGAGACAGACCAGAGACAGACCAGAGACAGACTAGAGACAGACCAGAGACAGACCAGAGACAGACCAGAGACAGACCAGAGACAGACCAGAGACAGACCAGAGACAGACTAGAGACAGACCAGAGACAGACTAGAGACAGACCAGAGACAGAGAATACAATAGAACAGATCTCTCTGGTGTAAAAGAGTTTTCTCTGTGACCTCAGTCCTGCAGACATTAGCTTAGCTGATTTCAGGTTAGCGTTAGCGCATTAGCTTCATGATAATCCTCCGAGCTGCAGATGTTGATTCTGAAACAAAAACCATGCACCCATCGAGCCCTCGTCACCTCTGCAATCTGTGCCTGCCGTGTTCGCTTCTGCTGGATCATAGTAAGCTACTAACTGGCTAATAACAGGTTAATAACAAGCTAATGACAGGCTAATAACAGGTTAATAACAAGCTAATGACAGGCTAATAACAGGCTAATATCAAGCAAATAATAGACTAATAACAGGCTATTATAAACCTAACAAAAATCTAATAATACAATTATAATAGGCTAATATCAGGCCAGTAACCAGCCAAAGACCAGAGACCAGAGAGAGAGACCAGAGAGAGAGACCAGAGAGAGACCAGAGAGAGAGACCAGAGAGAGACCAGAGAGAGAGACCAGAGAGAGAGACCAGAGAGAGACCAGAGAGAGACCGGAGAGGGAGACCAGAGAGAGAGACCAGAGAGAGACCAGAGAGAGACCAGAGAGAGATCGGAGAGGGAGACCAGAGAGAGAGACCAGAGAGAGAGACCAGAGAGAGACCAGAGAGAGAGACCAGAGAGAGAGACCAGAGAGAGACCAGAGAGAGAGACCAGAGAGAGACCAGAGAGAGAGACCAGAGAGAGACCAGAGAGAGACCAGAGAGAGACCGGAGAGAGAGACCAGAGAGAGAGACCAGAGAGAGAGACCAGAGAGAGAGACCAGAGAGAGAGACCAGAGAGAGACCAGAGAGAGAGACCAGAGAGAGACCAGAGAGAGACCAGAGAGAGAGACCAGAGAGAGACCAGAGAGAGACCAGAGAGAGAGACCAGAGAGAAAGACCAGAGAGAGACCAGAAAGAGAGACCAGAGAGAGACCAGAGAGAGACCAGAGAGAGAGACCAGAGAGAGACCGGAGAGGGAGACCAGAGAGAGAAATGTATTTATTTATTTGATGGGGACAAGTGTCAAGGAGCCAGAGTGAGTTGTAGCAATACTTTACAATGAGGACTTCCCTATTGGGGTTCATTGAGTTACCATGTGTGACCTTCAAATACTATTTATATAACCAGACACATGTGGCACCATAAATGCCTTCTCCATCTGAGAGACGCACATGGTGTGGACGGTTTGATTGATTTTGCCTAAATATTGGTTCTTTGAGATGTGTCTGTTTATTTGATTGGCTCTTAGTCTCTGACTGGTTGGCCACCACTGGACTAGATAGACACACTGGTCTCTCACCGGCCCTTCTCTGGTCTCTCTCTGGTCCCTTTCAGTTGTCTCTCTGGTCTCTCTCCGGCCCTTCTCTTGTCTCTCTCAGGTGTCTCCTTGTCTCTCTATGGTCTCTCTCTGGTCCCTCTCAGGTCTTTATCAGGTCTTTCTCTGGTCTCTCTCTGGTCTCTCTGTATCCTACCATGTGTGTGTTTATACCATGTGTGTGTCTATACCATGTGTGTCCATTCATTGAGATAGCAGGTTAGCATTGTCCATCTGTTTACAGCCTATGGTCCTGACCTTCTGATATGAAATGCAAAGTCTTCTAAATGTATGTTGTTTGTGTAGAATGTGTAGGATATAGTAAAACCATGTGACGTCGTGTGTTGCAGGCCGTGTACATGTTCTACGCTCTGGCGCTGGTTTGTGACGACTACTTTGTGCCGTCGCTGGAGAAGATCTGTGAGGTGAGGCCGGACAGAGACCAGCAACACTCCCACCTGGTCTGAGATGTAGTATTACTAATATCAGAACCAGTCAATGGGAAAGCAGCAAGAAATGTTGTAATGTAAAAGAAACAAAGGTCAGAGATAGACCTGAGGGAGACCTGAGGGAGACCTGAGGGAGACCAGAGGGAGACCAGAGATAGACCTGAGGGAGACCTGAGGGAGACCAGAGATAGACCTGAGGGAGACCTGAGGGAGACCTGAGGGAGACCAGAGATAGACCTGAGGGACCTGAGGGAGACCTGAGGGAGACCAGAGATAGGGAGACCAGAGATAGACCTGAGGGAGACCTGAGGGATACCAGAGATAGACCTGAGGGAGACCTGAGGGAGACCTGAGGGAGACCTGAGGGAGACCAGAGAGAGACCAGAGAGAGACCAGAGAGAGACCAGAGAGAGACCAGAGAGAGACCAGAGAGAGACCAGAGAGAGACCAGAGAGAGACCAGAGAGAGATCAGAGAGAGACCAGAGAGAGACCAGAGAGAGACCAGAGAGAGACCAGAGAGAGACCAGAGAGAGACCAGAGAGAGACCAGAGAGAGACCAGAGAGAGACCAGAGAGAGACCAGAGAGAGACCAAAGAGAGACCAGAGAGAGAGAGACCAAAGAGAGACCAGAGAGGCCAGAGAAAAACCAGAGAGAGAGTAGCCAGGGACAAAGAGAGACAATGATTCATTCATTTATCTATTTGGTCTGCTAATATAGTAGCTAAGGCTAACAGACGATAGCTTTGTGCCTCATGTGAGTCTGACAGAAGCATTGGTACAGAAGGGTCGGGGGGACGTGTCGGATCCAGTTGTAACCAGTTCTGGTCCTGTCTTTCTCCTCAGCGGCTGGATCTCAGTGAGGATGTGGCAGGAGCTACTTTCATGGCAGCAGGAAGTTCAGCTCCAGAACTCTTCACTTCTGTCATCGGTGAGACTCAAGACCAGGACTGACCAGAGACCAGAGAGAGACCAGAGAGAGACCAGAGAGAGACCAGAGAGAGACCAGAGAGAGACCAGAGAGAGACCAGAGAGAGACCAGAGAGAGACCAGAGAGAGACCAGAGAGAGAGACCAGAGAGAGAGACCAGAGAGAGAGACCAGAGAGAGAGACCAGAGAGAGACCAGAGAGAGACCAGAGAGAGAAGTTAGCTCTAAACTAAAACTACAATCTGACAGATACCAAAGATACCCTAGTTACAATATTCACCAGGAGAGAGTTTTTAGTCTCTGGTTTCTGTGTGGTACCATGTGTAATCCGGTGTTGGTGCTGTCTGCAGGAGTCTTCATCACCAAAGGAGACGTGGGAGTGGGGACCATCGTGGGGTCTGCCGTCTTCAACATCCTCGTCATCATCGGAGTCTGTGGCATCTTCGCTGTTCAGGTGAGAGAGAGACCAGAGAGAGAGAGACCAGAGAGAGTGAGACCAGAGAGAGAGACCAGAGAGAGAGACCAGAGAGAGAGAGACCAGAGAGAGAGAGACCAGAGAGAGAGACCAGAGAGAGAGACCAGAGAGAGAGAGACCAGAGAGAGAGAGACCAGAGAGAGAGAGACCAGAGAGAGAGACCAGAGAGAGAGACCAGAGAGAGAGAGACCAGAGAGAGAGACCAGAGAGAGAGACCAGAGAGAGAGAGACCAGAGAGAGAGAGACCAGAGAGAGAGAGACCAGAGAGTGAGACCAGAGAGTGGGACCAGAGAGAGAGAGACCAGAGAGTGAGACCGGAGAGTGGGACCAAAGAGAGACCAGTTAGAGAGACCAGAGAGAGACCAAAGAGAGACCAAAGAGAGACCAAAGAGAGACCAGAGAGAGACCAGAGAGATAGACCAGAGAGATAGACCAGAGATTCTTTGGGATAACCACAGAATACTGTACTTTCTGGTACCTCCTCTGTTAATCCAGTCGCGGCCACAGGTAAAGTTAAATCTGAATAATCTGGTCTGGACAGGTTCAGTTCGGTCCAAATCTACTGTCGCCTCATTTCTATAATCTGTATTTTTAATCCCGGCCTTTGTCTGTGTGGAACCACATTACATCATGGAGGCACACAGATTAAAGAACACACATTCACACTTTACAGACGACACCAGGTCTCATTCCTCTGCTGGTCCTATGCGGAGTTTGCATGTTCTCCCTGTGTCTGAGTGGGATGTATGTGGAAAGACACACAGCAGGAGAAACACATCCATCCATACAAACAAATACACACATAATTCTAAAAGTTGATAACATTTGTAATATTTGTGCAGATTGAATATAAAGTGTCTGTTTGGTTCGGACCATTTTCTCTGCTCTGGTTCAGAGTGAAATTCTGAATGCTTTCTTAGCGTTTTGAACAAAACGCTAAGAAAGTTGGCATTCCTCCAGTGGCTTTGTGCTTGATCTGTTTGGTTGGGACCGTCCTCTCTGCTCTGGTCTGGATCAGTGTAAAACCATGAATATAGGTTTTTTTTATGACGACTTTAGAAAGTAGTTAAATATTCACTCAGGATCCTGATCTGTTCTGGTGCAGCGACGACACTAAGATGAAGTGGTTATTTCAAAGTCAACTGTTTAAATTGTCTTATTTTTGTGTAAAGCCTGAAGCGGCGGCAGACTCATTTATTTAAAATAGTTTGTTTGTGTTTATCTAATTATCGATCTCTACAGGTAGGAAAAAGCAAGAATATAAGGATTGTAAAACACAAAATAAAATAACAACGGTTTCAGAGTGACTTAGGACTCGCTGCCGTTTCCAGCACATTCAGAACACATCCAGAACAATAACCAGCAGACGAGGCCCACATGGTGTCTGACAGTCTACATGGTGTCTAACAGTCCACATGGTGTCTAACAGTCTACATGGTGTCTAACAGTCTACATGGTGTCTAACAGTCCACATGGTGTCTAACAGTCTACATGGTGTCTAACAGTCCACATGGTGTCTAATAGTCTACATGGTGTCTAACAGTCCACATGGTGTCTAACAGTCCACATGGTGTCTAACAGTCCACATGGTGTCTAACATGGTGTCTAACATGGTGTCTAACAGTCTGACATATTCTGGATTATGGACCATCGTCACATTTGTCTCTATAATCCTTGTTTCTCTGCAGACCATCCATCTGTCCTGCTGGCCCCTGCTGCGGGACTCCACCTACTACACCCTGTCCATCTCTGCTCTCATCGCGGTGAGGCCTCCTCCTGCTCCTCCTCCTGCTCCTCCTCCTTCTCCTACTGTTGCTCCCCCTCCTGCTCCTCCTCCTGCTCCTCCTCCTGCTCCCCCTCCTGCTCCTCCTCCTGCTCCCCCTCCTGCTCCTCCTCCTGTTCCTCCTCCTGCTCTTGCAAATGTAATTAAACTGGTAGGACATAAGTGTTGAGCTCCTGTGTGCTGCTCTCTCTGTAGTTCTCAGACGTCTGTGAAGTAAAGTCAGTTTTATGTCTTTGTTTAAACTGCTCGAAGCACAGCAGACGTCTCAGAGGAAAGTTGTGGATTTTCCAACAGCCGATTAGAGAATCCAACAATTTGGACACAGGAAGAGCAGCAATAACAAACAAATAGGAGCGTCAGAAACACAGGACTGAGGTTGTAGTAGACTCACTCTGGTCTATGTCTTTCTGGTCTCTCTCTCTAGTCACTCACCTCGGTCTCTCTCTGGTTTCTCTCTGGTCCCTCTCTGGTCTCTCACCGGCCCCTCTCAGGTCTCTCTCTGGTCTCTCTCTCTCTTGTCTCTCTCTGGTCTCGCTCTGGTCTCTCGCTCTCTTGTCTCTCTCTGGTCTCTCGCTCTATTGTCTCTCTCTGGTCTCTCTCTCTGGTCTCTCACCGGCCCCTCTCAGGTCTCTCTCTTGTCTCTCTCTGGTCTCTCTCTGGTCTCTCTCTGGTCTCGCTCAGGTCTCTCTCTTGTCTCTCTCTCTGGTCTCTCTCTTGTCTCTCACCGGCCCCTCTCATTCTCTCTCTTGTCTCTCTCTGGTCTCTCTCTGGTCTCTCTCTCTGGTCTCTCTCTTGTCTCTCACCGGCCCCTCTCATGTCTCTCTCTTGTCTCTCTCTGGTCTCTCTCTCTGAAAACTGTTTAGAGCCAGGAACTAGAGACATAGATGTTATTACAGAGTCCTTGTTTAGTGGTCTGACAGTTTTAAAATCCACATAGTAATAATAACAATAATAATGAGTGTATCTGTGTTTGTCCCGCAGTTCATTTACGATGAGAAGGTGGTCTGGTGAGTGTGATATCTGTTTATGGTTCAGTTTCCCCTTGATGGTTCTGTCCTCTGATGGTGTTTCTGGTCCTCAGGTGGGAGGCTCTGACGCTGGTCCTCATGTACGTCGTCTACATCTTAATCATGAAGTGAGTTTGGAAACACATGGTTTAAAACTATCTTCTAAAAAGTCTGAAGCAATGTATGAAGCCATTGGTCTTTCTCTGGTCTCTCTGGTCTCTTTTCTCTCTCCCTAGTCTCTCTCCCTGGTCTCTCTCACCCTGCTCTCTCTAGTCTCTCTCACTGGTTTCGTTTTGTCGTTACTTCCGATGCTGGTTCCGTGTCTGGTGACTCGCTGTAGTCTCTGTGTAAAAGCTTCGCTCTTGTCGCAGGTGTAACTCGTACGTGGTTAGGTTTTTGGAACGAAGGAAAAAGAAGTCGTCGTCTCTGAGAAATGGAGCCGCAAACAGCACCGAGCTGGAGGACGGAGAGGCCACCGCCGTGCTGCTCAAGAAAGGTCTTTATTCATTCAGCCCCTGATACACCCACAGACCTGGATCTACAGGACTGAGGCTGTAGACCCAGGACTGAGGCTGTAGATCCAGGACTGAGGCTGTAGATCCAGGACTGAGGCTGTAGACCCAGGACTGAGGCTGTAGACCCAGGACTGAGGCTGTAGATCCAGGACTGAGGCTGTAGACCCAGGACTGAGGCTGTAGACCCAGGACTGAGGCTGTAGATCCAGGACTGAGACTGTAGACCCAGGACTGAGGCTGTAGACCCAGGACTGAGGCTGTAGACCCAGGACTGAGGCTGTAGATCCAGGACTGAGGCTGTAGACCCAGGACTGAGGCTGTAGACCCAGGACTGAGGCTGTAGATCCAGGACTGAGGCTGTAGATCTAGGACTGAGGCTGTAGATCCAGGACTGAGGCTGTAGATCCAGGACTGAGGCTGTACCATGTGCTGTTGCAGGTCCTCACCAGCGGAAGGCGTCGGTGTTGATGGTAGACGAGCTCCTCAGTGCGTACCCACACCAGCTGTCGTTCTCGGAGGCTGGGATGAGGATCATGATCACCAGCCACTTCAGCCCCAGGACCAGACTCACCATGGCCTCACGTATGCTCATCACAGAGGTACTGACCAAGACCAGACCAAGACCAGACCAGGACTGGACTAGGACCAGGACTGGACTAGGACCAGGACCAGACCATGACTGGATCAAGACTGAACCAGGATTGGACCAGTACTGACCAGGACTAAAGCAGAGACTGAAGCAGGGACTGAACCAGATCTGAACCAGGTCTAAACCATGACTAACCAGCACTAAACCAGGACTTAACCCGGTCTCTCTCTGGTCGCAGAGGCAGCGGCTGATCAGCTGTCGCACCATCACTAACGGAGACTCGGACGTAGTGGTGGGGGTGAAGTCAGGTCTGCGGAAGGGCGCAGAGAACGGCCTGTCGTCGTCAGGGGCAGATCGCCGTGACGACCGCGAGGCCGGCAACGACACAGAGAACGAGGACAACGACAACAACGAGAACGATGAAGATGAGGAGGAGGAGGAAGGAGAGGGGCCGTTCGTACCACATCACTGTCCAGGTGAACTGACTGAAGACTGGACCAGGACTGGACTGGACTGGACCAGAACTGGACTGGACCAGGACTGAATGCTGTATGTGTTTATCCTACATGGGGCGTCCTGAATCTCTCTCTGGTATCTGATCTGTCTGGTCTCTGATCCGTCTCTCTGAACCTGTAGTGCATGTGTTTGTCCTGTAGGGGGCATCCTGAACAAGCTGAAGTGGCTCCTGGCCTGGCCCCTGTGCCTCCTCTTCTTCTTCACAATCCCCAACTGCTCCAGTCGCCGCTGGGAAAACTACTTCATGTTGTCGTTTGTGTCGTCCACGCTCTGGATCGCCTGCCTCTCCTACGTCATGGTGTGGATGGTGAGTCTGTGTGTGTGTCTGTGTGTGTGTGTGTGTGTATGTGTGTGTCTGTGTGTGTGTATGTGAGTCTGTGTGTGTGTCTGTGTGCGTGTCTGTGTGTTTGTGTACGTGTATGTGTATGTATATCTCTCTAACCCTCTCACTCCTGTCACTCCTGTCTCTCCTCTATCTCCCCTCTCTCCCCTCACTCCTCGCTCTCTCTCCCCTCCCTCCCCCCTCTCCCCTCTGCAGGTGACTGTGATTGGGTTCACACTGGGGATCCCTGATGTCATCATGGGCATCACGTTCCTGGCTGCAGGCACCAGTGTCCCCGACTGCATGGCCAGCCTCATCGTAGCTCGACAGGGTGAGTGCTAACAATGCTAACATGCTAGCTCAATGAAGCCCAATAGGAATGTGTCTCTGGTATTTCTCTGTTCTCTTTCTGGTCTCTCTCTGGTCTCTCTCTGGTCTCTCTCTGTCTCTGATCTCTCTCTGGTCTCTGATCTCTCTGGTCTCTGTCTCAGGGATGGGGGACATGGCCGTGTCCAACTCAATCGGCAGTAACGTGTTCGACATCCTGGTGGGCCTGGGTCTGCCCTGGTCCGTGAAGACTCTGGCCATCAGCTACGGATCCGACGTGAGTTACTCTTACCCAGCCTGTGTCACATAGAACACAGCTTACGTCACTGGATCCACATTAGTTCTTCCTTAATGGTTTTCTGATGTGATTTCACGTCAAATAAACAAGATTTTCAATGTTATTGGCCCTGATCATAAGTCTCCATTAGACTGAAGCAGAGACTGAAGCAGAGACTGAAGCAGAGACTGAAGCAGAGACTGAAGCAGAGACTGAAGCAGAGACTGAAGCAGAGACTGAAGCAGAGACTGAGGCAGAGACTGAAGCAGAGACTGAAGCAGAGACTGAGGCAGAGACTGAGGCAGAGACTGAGGCAGAGACTGAAGCAGAGACTGAAGCAGAGACTGAAGCAGAGACTGAGGCAGAGACTGAGGCAGAGACTGAGGCAGAGACTGAAGCAGAGACTGAAGCAGAGACTGAAGCAGAGACTGAAGCAGAGACTGAAGCAGAGACTGAGGCAGAGACTGAAGCAGAGACTGAGGCAGAGACTGAGGCAGAGACTGAAGCAGAGACTGAAGCAGAGACTGAAGCAGAGACTGAGGCAGAGACTGAGGCAGAGACTGAAGCAGAGACTGAAGCAGAGACTGAGGCAGAGACTGAAGCAGAGACTGAGGCAGAGACTGAGGCAGAGACTGAAGCAGAGACTGAAGCAGAGACTGAGGCAGAGACTGAAGCAGAGACTGAAGCAGAGACTGAGGCAGAGACTGAGGCAGAGACTGAAGCAGAGACTGAAGCAGAGACTGAAGCAGAGACTGAGGCAGAGACTGAAGCAGAGACTGAGGCAGAGACTGAGGCAGAGACTGAGGCAGAGACTGAAGCAGAGACTGAACCAGAGACTGAAGCTATCCGTCTAAACCTGCTCTGAGCCTCTGTGTGTCTCATGTTTACTCGTTATGACCCGTTCTGGTCGCCCTCTTATCTCAGAGCCGAGCCTCTGTTCTCCTGTTTGACTTTGCGGGGCATGTTTGCACTCATCTCCACAAAAACAAACAGGATTATGATTCTCTACAAAACAAACAGGAACAATCCTTTACGTCTCACTTCATACAGACATTCAATTCCATCAAATTATTTGTGTATCGCCCTAAATCAAAACAGCAGTCGTCTCGAGGAACAGTTCAAACAGTGCAATAATGACAAACACACAGGCTGTAGATCCAGGACTGAGGCTGTAGATCCAGGACTGAAGCTGTAGACCCAGGACTGAGGCTGTAGATCCAGGACTGAGGCTGTAGATCCAGGACTGAGGCTGTAGATCCAGGACTGAAGCTGTAGACCCAGAGCTGAGGCTGTAGATCCAGGACTGAGGCTGTAGACCCAGAGCTGAGGCTATAGATCCAGGATTGAGGCTGTAGATCCAGGACTGAGGCTGTAGATCCAGGGTCTGAGGCTGTAGATCCAGGGTCTGAGGCTGTAGATCCAGGACTGAGGCTGTAGATCCAGGACTGAGGCTGTAGATCCAGGACTGAGGCTGTAGATCCAGGTCCGTTACACATAAAAAATTGCTTATATCTGCTTTTTCCATGGCCAAAGACCTGTCCCTGCAGCTTCTGTCGCATTGTTATTTAACTAGAAGACACAGATGTGACAGTGTTTGACGCACGATCGAGCAGAAAATGACAAAATCAATGCTCGAGCGTCAGAAGCCGATCGATGTCAGAGCTGAGGAGACGTGAGGAGCAGGTGTGAGCTCAGAGAGAAGCAACAGGTGGAATACTCTACTCCACTCTTCCTGATTGTGTTTCCATCACACTCGTCACTTGTCTGGTGCCGTATCCTAGCAACCTACCCACAACAAACCAGTGTACAGGGAAATTCCTTGGTAACCTTGGCTTCCAGCTGCTCTCTGGGCAATCACTGTCAGTTAGAACACTTATGTATCAGCTTGGCCTAGATAGAACCAGGACCAAGAGGGACTAAAGAAGGACAAAAGAAGGACATGGTACTGGTTTAACAGGACCAGAGTAAACACAGAGTAGAGTAGAGCCAAGTGTGTGTGTACGTGTGTGTGTGTGTGTGTGTTTGTGTCCTTCATATCTGCTGTTGTCTCCTCAGATCAAACTCAACAGTAAAGGCCTGATCTTCTCCGTGGGTCTGCTGCTGGGATCTGTCTTCCTGACGGTGAGTACGTTTAACCGGATCCTACTGAGACAAGGCCAGCAGATGCATCTAAGAGCACAGAGAAAAGCCATGATGTTTTTAGCATTATTATTGATATCTGTGCACCAAAAATGCTCCAAAATGTGGCTTTGAATTCATGGCTTTGACCCTAGACTAGTACAGACCCTAGGGTTAGGTTTCAGGAAAGATTATGTTTTGATTGGCTGTTTTTTTCTTGGCTCAGGTCTTGGGCGTCCATCTGAACAAGTGGACTCTGGACCGGCGTCTGGGTCTGATCTGTCTGATGCTCTACTCCGTCTTCCTCTGCTTCTCCTGCCTCATAGAGTACAACATCTTCACCTTTGTCAACCTGCCGACCTGCAGGGAGGGGCTGTGAGTCCGCCCCCTCAAAATAAAACCCCAGCATACCCACACAATCAGTGCAATATACAGAGGGAACTCGGTAAGGCCGCCCCGCCAGAATAAAAGTCTACAAATCCATCCACACAAACAGTGCAATACAGAAGAACTGGCGCGGCTGTTACGCCAAAATACAAGTCCACGGATCCCACGGAAGATGTGCAATACAAGAAAACCAGTGAGGCTGCCCCGCCAGAATAAAAGTCCAGGAAACCCACACAATCAGTGCAATATACAGACGGAACTCGGTGAGGCCGCTCCGCCATAATCAAAGCCTGGGAATCCTACACACGCAGTGGATACATTGGCAAAAAGTTAAGCTGTCTCGGCAGAATGAAACAGGCGTCCTCCTTCGCTAGTGCAATATCAGGACAATCTCTCAACCATCCCACAATGGCTGTGGCATCGACAATGAAGAGTTCATAATATATCATCAGAAATTGGCCAATGGAGCAATTATATCACCCCGCCAATATAAAAGTCCACAGCCAGAAGAAATCAGATGGACTTTTACTTTGAGAATCCCTCGTTTAACAGGGAATTTTTGGAGTTGGATGCACTAACACACACACACACACACACACACACACACATGCTGCTAAACCACTTTTATTTTTTAAAGTATTTAAGCAGAGGTAGAAACGCTCTGGTGCAATCGTATGGAGGTTTTGGTTGATGCTGCCAAGGCATTCATCATTGTTTTGTTTGTTGATTTAACCGATCTCCGGAAGCTAGTTATCAGTTTCCAGGTCCCTGCTATAAGCTAAACCCACATTGTGTAATATGTAATTTAACATTAAAGGGTCCAGTAACATGTGATTGCAGCTTAAAATAATGTTTCAAATCCGAAATCTGGTTTAAAAATGTGTTTTCAATCATCAGCTGATAATATTATCCTTGCACTGATATATAAACAGACCGATAGGGAACTAATAATAGACAAAGTTTGGCTCCAACTCGCCTTGGCTCCTGTTGACCTAACAGTACAGTAACATGTAAACGTAAACTCCTCTATATTGTGATATTGTCTTTGTAAATGCAGATATGAGCCTGAACAACTGACCAATCAGGAGCCTTCTGTTGCAATTTGGCTACAGTGCACTTGGTTACTAGCTGTTTCTACTTAAAAAATGACCGCACAAATAGCCTGTTTAAGCTAGCTCCAATCGTATTTTTCAGCATCAAGGCTAACACCATAGTGACGTCAGTCCACTCCTAATATACAGTCTATGGTGTGGAATGTTTTAAGCAAATTAAATTTGCCAAAACACAAAGATTTTTAGACCATGAAAAGTATAATGTAAAATACTAGTAGAGAGGTTGAGAAGGGAAAAAAAGAAAGTTTAAATATATTTGTTACTGTGTGGATATATTAAAGGTGTATAAAACGATTTTCCAAAACTTTAGGAAAAAACTGTCCTCCACTTTTTGAACAAAACTCTGGTCTTATTTGACGATACATATCACAAGAATGATTGACAATTGGGAGGACCAACAGTCTTGATGATCCACTCAGAAGTAGAAAATCCTCTTGTATACCTTTAACTTATTAACAATAGGAAGAGTAACCAAAAAGTCATCGAGTACTGTTGCACTGCCAAATACCCGTTTTTTCAATGGCTTCTTCAGAGTGTTGTAAACTAGCGCTAATGGCCCTAGTTCGCAAAATACATATATTACTCAAATCAAAGTTTAACGACTGAAAGCTACTCTTAAGAATGAGTATTTTATTTAAAAAGTGACTTAATTATATGTATCTACGCACTGCCCACCTCTTTAGAGAATTAAACGACGAAAAAAAGCACACCTTGTTGCATGCTAACAATAGACTAGCACCTGAACGGCATGTTGTTAGCGAGTTAGCATAACACATTTCAGTAAAAAACAGTGCTTTTTTTTGTCAATTTTCGAACTGTCAATCGTGTGAAAAGAGGTCCTAGACGTCTACTGCCACTTTCTATGTCAATGTGTTTTATATTATTTATCTGTTTTGTGATCATTTAGAACTTTTAAAAAACCAGGGAATTATACTGTACTTAGCAACTAGCACCAGAGCTGTAGCCTCCATGTCTTTTCTATGGGAACGATTAGCTTTATAGAGAGAATAGTGTTAGATATTTAATTTGTAAATAGTGTTGTAAATATTACCAAGATGTCCTATTTATAATTTATTAAACCACGACATACGCACATTATCTTCTCAATGGCGCATACGGACTCTTTGTGAGGACCAGCGTTTATGGACCTGTCGAGACTTTTCCAAAGCACAAAGCTCTTTTTTGATGTCATTTATGCGTCGGGCGAAGAAACTGCACTGCGGGAGGCGTTTTGTGCCGATTACAGGGAGAATTTCCTGGTAAAATGACGCCGAATTGTTAAAACATTGACTTTTTGTTCCTTGCTCGGACAATTCTCCTCTTTTTGAAGACCAAATACTGATTACATATGTGTTGTTGGTACTAATTGAAGTTAAAAAAGCAGGTATTTTTAGTGTTAGTTTGTTCATGTTAGGCTTAAAGGTATAAAGGAGGATTTTCCCATATTTTAGGAAAGAACCGCCCTTTCTACTTTTTGAACAAAACTCTCTGCTCTTATAGGACAAGGACGTATAAACAGAATGATTGACATTTGGGAGGACCAATAGTGTTGATGATCCACCCGGAAGTAGAAAATCCTCTTGTATACCTTTAAGATGCAGTATTACGCATCGGGACTTGGGGATCTCTGAAAACTGGGGGTTTTTTGATGCATTTTTGTATAAACTGAATGGCGTCCACGTGGGTTTCCTCTGTGGTGGTAGATTTTAGATGTGAAACGTGTGTGACTCCTCCAGGTTTTTCAAGTTGATAGACATTTAAAAACAGCACCTTTTCTCTGCGTTTGGCTGCGTTTACACACGGGAAGATGGGAAACTCTGGTAACTGTGTGGATATATTAACTTTCTGACTGTAGGAAGATCAATCAAAACGTAAAAAAGTAGTTACGTCGCCTTTGTAGCGAAATATTACATGGAAAAGCACATGCTAACAATAGATTACCACTTCTACAGCAGCATTAGCTTGTTGTTAGCTAGTTAGCAAACGCATTTCATGATTTTTTTGATACATTCTCAAACTGCCAATCAAAAAAGGATCCATTCAATAAATGATCGACACATTTAAATTACATACATTTGAGGACACTTCTGCTAGCTTATATAGCATGGATCTATTATAGCCGTTAGCAGTGAAACAAACACAGAATATTCTTTTAGGGAAATATTCGACATCTGTCCGTGGCAAAGTCTGCTATCAGGAAGTGACATCTACGGTAACAACACGATGTCTACAGTTTACGATCACTTTTACAATCAAATCTTCATAATGTAGTTAAAAGAAACAAGAAACAAAAACACAATACTAATGTGCCTGATTTAAGTCCTTGCTATTTCGTCAGTGATCTTTGACAAAAACATAGAAAGCATCACTACTGCCATGCGTTTTACAAGAGTTAGCATCATTGTTAGCATTATGTTTGCAATGTTTGCTAGCTTTTCTTGAGCCTTTACCCACAATGAGCTAAAACTAGCGAGCAATATTTGGCAGCAATTTGCACAATAATGGCGTGGGTGTTGTCTTTCACGCATTCCAGCATTCCAATCCTTGCATCCTGTATTTCTTCTTTATATTTCAATGTGACAAAAATGTATGCTAGCTTTTCGCTTTAGATATATATTTTTTACTTAAAGAGCTCTGAAGTCTTGCGTCTCTCGGTCCAGTTTCCAAAGTCCAAAGAAGTAAAAAAAACATTCATTTTTTTTTCAGCCTGTGGACTTTAGAAAAATTCAGATCTGCAGAGTTTAAAGATGTCACAAAAGCTTCGCAGTATCAAGGCAAATATGTAAAAAGTCTAAGTGTGTTATTTAAAAATGACGCATAATTTCTGACGGGGAACTCGTATCAATACACAAGTGTTACATTGCGTTAAATATACATATAGCGAGCTGAACTTGGGAAACGTAAGCTCAACCAATCAGAAGATAAGACAAACTTTATGTGTCCCACAGTGGGGGAAATTTCTATTTTGCAACACACATACAGGATACTAAATAAATAAAATAGCACACAAAAAATACAACATAAATAGCTGTAATGCTAGAAAATCAAGTAAATATCTATACACGTATATCTTCATTCTGAAGTTGCACTACAATAATGTCCAGGCTAGACTTAGAGCGAGAGTGTAGATTTATAGAAAACCAAAGGATTTAAGAAAAAAATAAGTTCAGGATTAAAATCCCCATGAAAGCTGTAGGGTTTCTTTCAGGTTCTCTGTCAGCTGAGGTCGAGCTGTTTTAGTTTACATTGAGTTCTATGAGACATTTTTCTGGGTAGCCCAAGTTAATTTATTCTGCAGTACCACAGCGCCCCCTGTGGCCATGGGTGGGACAGACCAATGCATGACAAATTAAAACATGGATTTTATGTATTGTTCCGTTTCCTGCCAAATAAATGCAGCCAAACCGGAGCGTCCTCCATTTTGGGTCCATTGTCAAGTGCCCTATCTTTCTCTTATTTATCAAACAGAAGTCGAGTTTATTTATTGCGACCAGATCTTTATAAATGTTTCTATAGAATATTGTATTTTGAATGTAAAAATGATCATGTCTTCTCTTCATTTATTTTTCGCTTATAAATATTGTTTACATTTTATTTATAACGTTACTACGGGAACAGGGTTGAACTGTGTTTCACGACATGCAATAATATGAGAATAGTAATAATACGAGCTCTACTGAGACCTGTACATAGTTCATTCAAACAATGAAGATTTATTATGAGCTCAATTAAGTGTTTGATGCTGTTTTGTGCCTCCAAACCACCGGACACATGGGATAAGGGCGAAAAAACTAGTATTATGTTGCATTTGTCTGTCATAATCAGGCCAACGCCGCCATCTGCTGGTGTCAAGTGAAGCTACAGCCTCCAAAACAACAAC